TGGGATGCAAACCTTCCTAAAACATAATTTTGCTCAAAATCTTACCTATTGTTCTCTCAGCCCATAAGTCAAATTTTTATGCAGAGTACTTATTCTGCACGCTGCCTGACGCACAGGAGACAATAAAGGTCAGTCCTGAGGGCTGCAGCTGCTCCCCACCGGCTGACCATTCGCTCATGGCTGATCTCTCCGTGTGTCTGACGGCAGCACCCGCAGCCTCTGCCTGTGCTCTGCATCCAGCAGCTCTTCCCCGTTCCTGGGCCCTGAATGTGTGCCATCCATCCCTCTCTGAGCTTCCCTTCAAGCTGTCCTTCCTGGCTGAAATGTCCCAGCCTCCATCAATTACAGCTGCTGCTCATCTCTCAAGTCCCGGCTGAAACACTCCGCCTCCATACCTCCCTCAATGGGCCTCCTCTCCCTCTTTTATCTAAATTCATCACTCCCATCCCTGAATTTCCAACCCAATCTACCTGACGACACTTTGTGTGCTTTTTCACCTAAATGCCCACATAGTATTTCCAATACTTTTTTCTCCCGCTTGACAGCTGTTGCCGCAGCCGGCAGGTATTGATTACTTACTGGGCGGCAGCACGGGGCTCGTCGCCGTGCACACACTAACCATGGACCCCTCACAGCCACCTATGATCAGCTCTTTACAAGGAGAAAGTGCTTCATGGCCCACCCAGGACTCCGTCCTCTCCTCAACGGCAGGAGCCACATCTCTGCCCTTTCACAGCACCTGGCACACTGGCCTGACTTGTCTAGCACTCTCAAAAACTTGGCTGGAATGAATTTTTAAAAGAAAAGTTATTCATTTCACTTTTAGGTATATAATTAAAGCTACTTTTATTTAAGAGAACTCAGAAGCTGAAGTGTATCCAGGACTAGCTCTCACACAAAGAGAAAGCAGTAAGAGTAAGCCAGGGACAGACTGAAAATGCAATCTTAACGTTGAACCATTTGATTTCGGCCCTTACCAGTGAGTCCTACTTTCTTCCTGCACATGAAACAGCGGTTCTTTTTTTGTTTTGGTTTTTCAAGAGACTTGCTTTGCTCTTCAGATGGCCGCTGTGCCGTATCTGATACTGAAGCTGACAAAGATAGGAAGGTGGAGTAATTCAGTTATTCAGTAGGTTTATTATTTGGGTGGTTGTCGCCCCCACCCCCACTTATCCGTTCACTATTCAGAGGACAACTGAGGAATTTATTTACTTATTAGCATGGAAAGATGGTCACATTAAGTTACGAAGTGGTTTGCATACTATGACGCCCCCTGTGTTAAATGTATCTATGTATACACACATGTAGAAAATCTAGAATATATATTGACAGGTTCACAGTGCTCTAGAAAGTGTTCTGTTGGGTTGTTGGATAAGTCATGATGCAGTTTTGCAACGAAAAACAGAAAAATATGTCATGACTTTTCCCACAACTCANAGGACTCCGTCCTCTCCTCAACGGCAGGAGCCACATCTCTGCCCTTTCACAGCACCTGGCACACTGGCCTGACTTGTCTAGCACTCTCAAAAACTTGGCTGGAATGAATTTTTAAAAGAAAAGTTATTCATTTCACTTTTAGGTATATAATTAAAGCTACTTTTATTTAAGAGAACTCAGAAGCTGAAGTGTATCCAGGACTAGCTCTCACACAAAGAGAAAGCAGTAAGAGTAAGCCAGGGACAGACTGAAAATGCAATCTTAACGTTGAACCATTTGATTTCGGCCCTTACCAGTGAGTCCTACTTTCTTCCTGCACATGAAACAGCGGTTCTTTTTTTGTTTTGGTTTTTCAAGAGACTTGCTTTGCTCTTCAGATGGCCGCTGTGCCGTATCTGATACTGAAGCTGACAAAGATAGGAAGGTGGAGTAATTCAGTTATTCAGTAGGTTTATTATTTGGGTGGTTGTCGCCCCCACCCCCACTTATCCGTTCACTATTCAGAGGACAACTGAGGAATTTATTTACTTATTAGCATGGAAAGATGGTCACATTAAGTTACGAAGTGGTTTGCATACTATGACGCCCCCTGTGTTAAATGTATCTATGTATACACACATGTAGAAAATCTAGAATATATATTGACAGGTTCACAGTGCTCTAGAAAGTGTTCTGTTGGGTTGTTGGATAAGTCATGATGCAGTTTTGCAACGAAAAACAGAAAAATATGTCATGACTTTTCCCACAACTCAGTATTTCCTAATTTTTCTAATAATTATGTATTTGACCAATAAAAGGCGCGCGCACACACACACACACACACACACACTCTCTCTCTCTCCCTCTCTCTCTCTCTCTCTCTCACTCACTCATTCTACTTGGGTATCCTAAGGGAGTGTAAGAAAATGGCCACACACAAACTTCTAAATATTGCTGGGGTCAGAAGTGTATAGATTTCTCATCAAAGAAGGAAAAAAAGGCTGAAACCAAGATTCAGTTGGATACTAAGTATGTTTAAAATTCTCAGAATGTTTCACATAAAATCTTTAAAATGTTAGGAACAAGATAAATTCATCAAAATGTTATAATTAAGATAATAAATGGATGTATTTAAGTCATGAAACCAAATACAGCTGCAAACCACTGCCCCTAATCCTAGCGAACATGCCCCCCCCCTACAGTCATTAACTCCTCTGCCCCTCGAATGCTGTCACCAGAGTCAGTCTAGAACATGACCCAGCAGACATGACATCGGGCCCTGGAGCAGGTTCTTAATCTGTCCAGTTTTATCTGTGTCCGTCTTCTTCGGGAACCTACTGCTCAAACAACCCAGGGGACTATCCCGGGCCCTTTGGCCACAGCACTTAAGCCAGTTCAAAAGCACTTCCCCTCTCCCCCTCGCCATCTTAAGGTTGAGCTCAGGAGCCGTCCTCCAGGAAAGCCATCTGATGGCCTGGAACTCCCGTAACAGTCCCTACCCAGCGCTGGGGCTCTGCACACGAGCCCCACTCGAGTGCACGCTTCCCATGCTGCATCAATTGTCCGCCTCAGTGGAAGCCTAATGCCAGGCCCTCCCATGTTTAGATCCTCTGAGGACTCCCCACGCACCCCAGGATAAAGCCCAGGTCCTCCTGAGTTTGCTCACCCTCCGTCCTCCAGCCCTGCCTCTCACCATGCCTGCTCGATGTCCCATGAGCGCCTATCGTTTACCTGAATATAGCCAGCTCCCTCCTAGCTCTGGGCTTCCGGAAAAGTCGTCCTTTCTCTGTGGAATACTTCTTCCATGGCCCTCTAGTTCCTTTCTTTACCCGGCTAACTCCGATTTGTCTTTCTTGTTTCAGTTATCCCCAACTCTCACTCCACTGCATCCCCGACCCCAAGAACAGGAAACCCTACAATGCGTGGGCCCAGCAGCACTCTGCACACAGTCACCATCGCCTGTGTGACGTAAGCCGTCAGGGCAGGTGCCGGCTCTCTCGCCACCGTCACCAGTAAGTGACTGCTGAGCTGAAGCCCTGGGGGACTCACCTGCTGTACTTACAGCCCTGGGTGGCCCCCCAACCACACTGCGGCCCGCCCAGGAGGGGTGCTGTCTTATTCCGCAGGCATCTCCAGCACCCACCACAGTGAATACACGCAGTAGATGCTCAGACAAGCCACGGACTGGACGCTCACACGCTCATGTGAACACATTGTCTCCTATTTTAACAAAATACAACAAAGGGCAAAACACAAACTAACAGGTGCACGAAGGAAGACCTCTATGACATGACAACTCCACCTGGGCATTCTGAAGTTACATGGGAGACATGCTATTAATAGAAACGGTTTGGTTTTGAAACACGATAAAACCCTTCATTTTTAATAAACATCCCTGGAATGTAAGCTCCAGGAGGCAGGGGCTGAGTGTCGTGTTTACTGTTTTGTCCTCAGCCCTTACAGCAGTAACAGATAAGTTTTGGCTGTATGTAAAGAGCTCAAAAAAGGTTTACCTTGCAATCTGAAAAGAACCTATTAGATTTATCGTCTCTGAAATCTGTAAACCATAACAGCTAACCTGTTCTCCAAGAAAGTCTAATATTCACATCAACTAATATAAATAATGTTTTAGCGGCAGTAACAACACTATCACAAGATGAGGTTTTTAACAGAACTGAGACACAAGCTCCGAATGGCATCTGGGAGTGGGGAAGAGTGGGACTACACTTACCGGCTATGCACGAAACATGACCGCACACCGCGGCAGAACCATTTCCTAGCACTAGCCCTGGAGATGAGCCTACACAGGTTCTCTCGACCTGAGGCATATGCACAACCTTTGAAGTTCAGGATCAGCAGGCCATGAAAGCCTGTGAACAAGGGCTCGAATCTGAGGCCCATGAATGTCCCCTGTATCCCCACAAGACTAAGGAACCTCGGCTTATCTGAAACTAGTGGCTAGTAGCCTGAATTGAAACATTCGGCAAATGAATTCATGGGAAAGATGACAGGGTACTCTGTCAAAGTTCATGATTCCCAGAAAATACCCAATTCCTCAAATTGTATGTGAGATTTAAGAGCAAAGCATGCCTTGCCCAACTGGACGTTATGTAAAAGGAAACAATTCAATCTCTTGCAAGGGCTGTACAGTGGACTAACGGCCAAAGACCGTAATCTTGTGGAACCTGAAGCCGAAATGAGGACGGTGTCTGAGCGCGGGGCAGTTTTCACACTCTGGGGCAAGAAGCGGACATCAGCCGCTTGTCAGAGACTAACAGGCAGCTGCCTGTGTTGCGCCCACGGGCCCTGAAGGTCTGTCTAGGAGGCCCAGGCGAGGGCAGAAAGGCTGGGAAGTGAACTGCACCGCGCCTGCCAACTCATTTGTCCTGGGAAGTCCAACCAAACAGAGTCTACTGGCCACTACTTTCAGATACTTCAAAAGCACCAGGCAGGTAAAATGAGTTTAGCTACCCACGTGGAGGATCACATTCAAGAGGAACAAGGCCCTCTGCTCTGGGTCCTGTAAAAAAAAAAAGGAAAAGAAAAAAGAAAGTCCGCAAATGTAACAGTGAGTACATGTGACTAGTCAGCACCCCCTCTGGGGAGTGTGCACACACACGTGAAAAAGGAAACTGAACATCAGAGGCCAGTAGCAGGTAACAAACATGCCCTTCCCGTAGGCATGGTGTCTGTGTAACAGAACACACATCCTCCCTCAGAGTCACGGCCAGTGTCCTCATTCCAGGACCAGGCCGCGTTTTGGGGTCGGGGCTGTTCTGCTCACTGAGCTCCCGGCTGATGCAGAGCAGCTGAGAACAAGCTTTCACAGCGACCCCAAGAGGATACTCCTTTCCTGTCTCTGGACCCGCCTTTCCTTATATGCGCTACGGGGGGCTGGACGGTCCTCAAGCTACTCCTGGTTCAAAATGAGAAAATTTTAAATATTCAAGAGAAAAATAAGCCTGTATGGTAGCAGGGTCCAAAAGAAATGCATCATATATTTAATTTTATATTTGCTAGCAGCCACGTTAAAAAGTAGAAACAGCTAAAATTAATATATATATATTATCATTTAAAAATATAATCAATCTGAAAAGCATTAATGAAATATTTCACTTTTGGGGGGTGCTGGGTCTTCAAACCCAGCATACACATCATGCTTACAGTGTAACTAGCACACACACAGGAACTTAACGTCTCCCTTCGGACCAGCCCCATGTCAGAGCTCAGCAGCCACGCTCAGCTCCTGGACGCCCCCGCCCTACAGATGAGACGCATTTCTATGAGCAGCCTTCTGGGAGCCAAAAACAGGTGATGACTCTTCTTACCCTACAACTTTGTGTTGTCTTAAACACACAGAAAAGCAACCGCCCTCCAAGACAGCTCTCTTCCCTGGCCATCGAGGACCAGCTGAGGATTCTCCCTGATCTGGCTGTAAACCTTTCCCCCATGAATTCCAACATATACTTGCCTGAACCAGCCACTCCAGCAACTGCTGTTTCTCGCTGCGTATTTCCCAAATTTCATGTTTTTCCTCCCTGAATGCTTTTGCTCTCCCATTTTCTTCTCCAGCTACAAGGCCCCTTCCCTGCATTCCTGTCTCACACGTGGAATCCTACAACAGGGGCACGTTTTCAAAGCTACCCCAACCCCCACCCACGTGGTGGCCGTACAGACAGAACTCCACTCCTTTTGATGACGGAGCGGCACACCTGTGAGTGCCACTCATCTGCTGCTGGCTGTGTGGGCAGTTTCCAGACCACAGCACTTGCATTCACGCCTGTGTGCCCACCCCCACGTGACACCACGAGGCCCGTTTCTGCAACTTGTAGTGAGCTTTCAAATGGGCAACTGTTGATCCTCCACCAACTTGCTTCTACTTTTTCTAGACTGTTTTGGCTATTCTCACCCACTCTTTACAATCAGAAGAAATCCTGACTTTTAATCCAAACACCTTTCCTAAGTTAGTCCCGAGGGGCTGCTCCTGAACCACCGATTTGACAATTGAGCTGTGTGTGGAGTAGGGAGCCCTCAGAGTTGGGAAGAGACTACAGGTCTCGTCTTCTCGGCCGCTCTGCAGCAGCTGCCTGCAGTGCTCCCTACAACGACCCAGCTTTCCCAGAATGCTTCAGTGACAGGGTGCTCCCCACCTTAGTGCATGATTTCATTCTACCCTGGGAAAGCTTCAAAGTTCTCTCTCATCCTAAGCCTCCTAAACTAACTCCCAAATCGCTGTGGCATCCATCAGAGTAAGAATATCCTTCGTGGTCCACAAGGCTCAGTTCACCTCTGTTATTTCACTGCCTTCTAACACCTTCTAAAGGTGGACATGGTTATTATTCTCCTTTAAAAGTAATGAAAATAAGGCTCAGAGAAGTGGGGGTGTCAAGTTATGAAAACAGAACCTCTGAATTCAATTTCACACTCTTCTTACTACGATCGGTACCTGAAGGACCGAGAGGCTAACCGGAGTTAAGCATATTGCTCAACACGAGAATCAGGATGGTTCAGAGCGTGCTAACACAAGTCTTTTTTCCTTAAAGCTAGCTTCTATAACCTGGACATCTGACATTCCTAAGTGACACTGTGCAAATGAGGGACTCCTACTTGTTAAATTAAAAATCATAACTACATGAGAAACATGCTGAAAGATGATAAATTCTCAGTTAAACATGAGAAAACTCCTTCGGAGCCATGAGGACAAAATGAAAGCAGTACCACCCACCTGGGGGGTGACAGGTTCTAATTATAAGCAGAATACCTACAGAGAAAATACGCTCTTTCAAGGGCACTATTCTGAAAATCCAGTAAAATGTTAGGAAATTCTGGCCTGGGCACACAGCTGCTGCCCACACATCCTCTTCATCTCGATGGTCATCCTCTCTAACTAAATGTCCCTGAGGGCTGCAAATGGAGCAGAAAGGAAGACGGATACCGGGGTAGGTACCAAGCCAGCGGATCCTACCCTGGGGACGGCGGGGGCTGGAGGTAGTGACAGGAACACACACGTCCACAGCCCAGACACACCCCAAGTGCCTACTGCAGAGACACTGACCAGTCAGGCGCCTGGGTTCCAGTTCCGGCTCAAACGACCACCGGACTTGAGTCAAAAACTTTTTCCCTCTCTCTTTTCATCCATCTATTAAATAGGTGGGGAAAAATTCTCTGCCTTTGCTCCCATCAAACAGGGAAATCCAAAGTCCGTTTATGTAATAAACGTAGGTGTCTACATACAGATACACACATATCCATGTGCATGCTTCTAACACAAGAAGACTCTTAATTCAATGGTATATTTTTAAAAACTAGGCTAAGAGGTTTTACACCTTGAAAACGAATCCTCTCAAATACAGATGTAACATATGCCTGATTTTTCAAAGATTCTGCTATGCAGAAATTATGAATGCTAAGTTTGTTAAACGTACTTAAAAGTTAATACTGGTTTACCCTAAAAGTCATTGAAACAATACATGAAAACAGGTGTCTATAAAATTTGAAAACTCCCTACAGTTCCTCCTAATGTGGTATCAAGACCACTTTTGCATGAACGTACTCAGGGCTAGGCCCAGGAAAGAGTGTTTTTCTCTGAACACCACGAACGGTATAAAAACACCTCCTGTTAGGACAGTTCACCAACCCACAATCTTCAGTCTTGGTCAGACTTGTCCAACAATGGCTACTGGCTCAGATACGTGTTTGCACTACCGATATTCTAAAATGTGCTCTCTTGTAGGACAGAAATAACATCCTCGTGAGTCACACAGCCTGTTTTCCTTCTTCCCTGTAGCTCTCTCTCAGAACTGCTAAGTGCTCCTTGCTTCTTCAAATTCTCCCGTCATCTGTGGCCTGAAACTAACCAGAATCTAGGTGAATTCTTTCCTCCCCTTTGCTGACTCACCGGCCTACTTGCTCCTCTTGATTTCAGCCTCTCGTTTCTCAGCCTGTGCCAAGGACTTCCAAATGTCAGACCTAATACTCATCACACATTTACATACCTATTACCTGGCCTATAACCTCCAATCCAGCTCTTTTAATTTTAATTTTGCAATTTGATTACTTCCAGTTTACTGTATCTAACTCTTGCCTGATCATTCTGCTTCTCTCTCAGCCTCCTGGCCTTAACCACACCATTGCCACTGTCATAAAACTGAAAGCTTTAACA